TCTTATAATGAGTCTGTTTTCTCTTTCAAAATATCTAACACGATTCAACTGTAGTTTACTTCCAGCACCGACGAAATATGGTAACAAACTAACAATGGTTTCCATCTGATTTGCATGTATTGATATTATCCATGAGATTCACAGTTGCTTTGTTTGCATGCAGCTTGTTCTTACTAAAAATGCAGTGAGAATGAGCATACATGCTGATAATACCACCTAGCGTGTAGCATGTGCGAATCTATATGCATGCATACGGTGGAAAATTTCATTGAATTTTGGTCAAAAAGATGAGGCAAAACAATGACAAACTCCAAATTAACCTAAAGATTTCTTAATAATGCAAATTTGCCATGCGCATCTTCCACTTAATAATCACAAATGCCAGTGACCAATGCATTTTGCATCATGTGAGGTTCTAGAGATGTAAGCAAATGTCTACTCAACGACAAAAAAGTCTGTCGCTAGAAAAATAGAAAAGAAAGGTTTTTCATGCATCCCCCATGTTTTATACATCCATCAACAGATATCATTTTGATAACATCCCCTAAGCAACAATACCAAAGAATATTAACAAAAAAAAAAAAAATATAGCTGAACAATCATGCAAATGTTCTTGCTTGCTACTCGATCTTGTAGGAAATGTGAATAGGGGTCAAATTAATTAGAAAGAATCTGCCCACAAGAGGCAAGTCAATTGCAGGATTACAAACAGAGTCAAGACCTCTTGAAAATTTGCTTCACAAACGATGCTTTGATAAGAGAGTCACAATAAACCCCCATAAATGCACACAAACTGATCAAAACATAAAGCACAGGAGAGAAAGTGAAAACAAGGAAAAATATATAAAAGTTCGCATGGTTTTGACTTTTGGCATACATTGAAACATTAGAGAGGTCTCAATCCGCAAAAAAAAAAAGAAGATAAAGAATTGAGAGGAAAAATATGATGATTATATTAGTAATACGCATTTGAGCGAAACAAATTTTAAACTGATTAACATGTTAGGCAAACCTTATATTAATCCATGAGGAAGGATCGTCAACAAATTTTTTTTACATCATTTTCAAACGTATCTATATATAAATTTCTCATCTTGAAGAATTAGTTTCTTTTAATTCACTTATATGAACTATCTGACCTTTTTTATATTCTTTTCCAAAAAAAATAGAATTGACTAATTTTGTTGTTCATTAATGCCCAAATGTCCTTGTTTTTACACTAATTTAAATATTTTGTGTATAAACTGCCCAGTGAATAGAGATTATGGATAGTTCTTGTTTGAACTGATCATTTATGCAAAATAGAATGACAACATCAAGGAAAACATCAAGAATAAAAAAGATTCTCGCTTTTGCTCCATAATTAAGGGCTTTTATCACTCGCTGCTTACTCAGATTGCATCACTGAAACGAACTTACAACATGAACCGTCTGAGGAAAAAAAAAACAAACAGATAGCAAAATGATGGGATTTTCAGCAAAATCTTCACTGTTAAAAGCTCATAACCATTTAATTTCAAAACACATCCTCATCCATATACACCAAAATGTACATATATATATATATAATAAAAAGAAAACCAAATTAGTAGCCTCCCTCCTAAAAAAAAGAGAAAAAAAGAAACATCACATGAACTTGGTAAAAATATCAAGCCAGTCATTGAGACCTCTGCCTCTTAGCATTCAAACCCTCAAACCCACCAACACAATGCAAACCCACAGCCCTCTTCATCATAAAACCAAGGTTCAATCCTTCATTGTGAAACCCATTAACAGAGCTCTGGACCAAAGGAGTACTCCTTCCGTTGACAGACACAGGAGGAATCTGAGGCTGCTGCAATGGCGGCGGATTCTTCCACCTCGGCAGAGGCCCAGCAACCATCAAGCTCTGCAGCAGAGGCCCAGCTCTCATTACTGCATCCAGAAGCTTTCCCTTCTCTGGCAATGGCCTGTTATTGACAAGCTGCTCCAATCTAGCATCAATCACTGCATTGTGGGTCGATTCGACGACTGTTTCTTGATCGAAGAATGACCCGTTGCTGTCGGATTCAGTGGTGGTTGAGTTGGCTCTGGGGTGAATGAGGTTGGTGGGGGATTCAGGGATGAGTTTTTTGAGGAGGAGGAGGTTGAGCTGACTTCTTGCTTCATCTCTTTCCTGAGTTGTCTGTTGGAGTAAATGGAGAAGCTTCTGGATTTGGGCTTCTTTCTTCTTTAGCTCTTCTCTTGCGTTCATTTGGAAAGCTTGGAGCTCCAATGTTGTGTCCATTAGCCTCTGCAGGTTTAGCTCTTCAACAGTCTGAATCCAACAGAATCACATCAGAGATTTGTTAACTAGAAAGAAACAATTTTGATGATTTGTTTGACTGCTAATGATAGTAAGCGACAGCCATTATCATAACTTAATCAAGTTCGTTAAAGTCTGTTGGATGATAAGCAAATATGAATATCAAACTGCAGCAACTCATAATTGAATTCAACTATATAATAATAGAAAATGACAAGGAAAAGAACAGAGCTTTCTTTCTGGTTCTGAATCTTCTTGAAACCCCACCATCGTAAAAGAACAAGTAAGTGAAATTATTGTTATTTAAACTAAAGTTTACTTCTTAGATTATTGATAATTAACGAAAAAGATCAAATCTTTTTACACGGTATGAGAAGGAAATAAAACTCAAAAAAATTCCTCGCAATTTATAATGCAATGCAGGCAAAATTGACTTGACCCATCAAAATTCACTGCTAAGAGTATCTACAATTGAAAGTTAAAAAAAACAAAACGAAAAAAAAACTCTTTTCCGGATGAATTTTCAAAGAAACCCATAAACAAAATAGACAACATCAAAATACACGAAATTCCAAACTAAAAAGAAAACAATTCAATCTTACTTGCAATGTAATGCAAGTAGAACTAACTTGTCCCATTAAATTCACAACCATAAATAACCACAACTGAAAGAAATCTAACCCAAATTACTCTGTTTTTTGTTGAATTTCAAAGAAACCCATGAGCCAAAACTCGACAGAAACCCAAAAAAAGAAATATAAATCTAGGGGTGGGGATGGGTACCTCATTGTAGTCATTGTAACCCCAATAAGAAGGAACACCCACTCCTTCAATGGCCATGGTGCCTTCTAACAGAGCCAAAGGATTCACACCCATCTTCCTCTCAAAATCCAATCCTATAATAATCCTATAAAGAGAAAAAAAACACCAGGAGAAAAACTACAATTAGCCTACCCCCTTTATATAACCACTAGCAAACTTCCAAGAAACCCCAAGACCCGGCTTTTATTATTATGGAAACCAAGAAACAGAGCACCATAAAAAAAATATTATTATTATTATTATTATTATTATTTGCGAGTACTTTCTGAATTAAATAAATAAGGAACGCGGGATTCTCCCCAAATAGACCCACTTTTAGTCGAAACCCAATTTTGCACCGTGAGCTTTTGTGGGTCCCTACTGCTGACTATTCTCTTTTTTTTTTTTTTCCCTTTCCCTTTTCTTTTCTGTCAGTTGTCAATCAAAAACAAAATCGCCTAATAAAAAAGAATTACTGCCTTTTTTGAGCTCTTTTTGATTTTTGGATTTATTTGGTAAGTCTAGCGTTTTTCCCTCCATTGGACTTTTACTTCTCGTACAAGTTTGGAAAATTGGCTGTTTAGGAAATATTTCAAAATACAATTATTATTGCCGTAGAAAATCCATCCAAGAGTCTTTTAAAATATCCTAGAAAGTAGGTTGATCAATTAAGTCGTCTTTAATTATTTGTTACGGTATATTTCCATGCATGTAGAGGAATGGGCAGGTACACCGATGTACACGGTACATACATCAAGTCATGATATATCCTTGACCTACCACACTACCAATTTACAAATACAAATATTACTCGAAAGTATTAATAAAGTTGCCAAAGCTGCATGATTTACATAAAGTCAGAAATGTACTTGAGAATTTCAAGAAAAAAAAATTCATGTTTAATTTGCTCTTTATTAAGGAAGATGATGAGAGCTCGCGCTCTTCTCCAATTTTATCAATGACTACTCAATATTTAAAAATAGAATAATTTTTCACTTCAGCCCCATTTTAAATTTTTTTTATTTAAATCGATCCTTTTTTTTATTTACCAAAACCGACCCGATTTTTTTATTAGCAGCTTAATCACCCGACTGTTAAGGACATTAATTTTTAGGGTTTAAGGCTTCTAATTAGGGTTTAACACCCTCCTAAATAGTCGGGGTTGACAACCTCGATTGTTTAGGAAGGTGATTAAGCTGCTAATCAAAAAATCGGGTCGGTTTTGGTAAATAAAAAAAAAGGTCGATTTAAAAAAAATTTAAAATGGGACTGTTCTGAAAAATTGTTCTTTAAAAATATACCGAGGGTAATTTAAGACAGTAATTGAATTTTAAAATTTTGCGAGGTTGCCAAACAAATTGAAGCGACATAATTACAAAATAGTTTTGCATGGCTCTTACATTGTATAGCCACACCTTGTCCTGATCAGAATTGCATCAAATCAATTAAGCCTAGTACCTCACGTCTATAACATTTTGATGCGGTAGTCTCTCTTCAAATTGCATTTAAAGCTCAAACAATGCCAAAAAAAAAGGCCAAACGTAGAGTTGACCTACCGTGTTACTTCATTCTTTTATTAGCTCCAGTATTCCTACACTCAACATTGCGTTGGGTGTATAGTAATACCTAGAAAAAAAAAGTTCCATGTGGTCATAAGGGCTATCATAAGTTTATTTCTCCTATAATCTTTAGATTTTATCCTCTCGGGATAAATAAATAAACACAGATAGAACCTGACAAATTAAGAGCATAGAGAAGAGCGCCATGTCATGTGAATATACTTCATCCTTGGTTTATATTAGTTTATTCAAGAAGACAAGCGGCTCAAAAGATTAATTGGCCTCTCAGTTTAGTTTATAGCATGGCTTATTAATTGCCATAGACTTTGCTTAAACCTTGGATTATGAACTGATAATTAGGGGTCTGATAATGTTTCGTGGGGCTGTGTTTTTTTAATTTTGGGGGGAGAAAGAGGACAAAGGAGTCTTGAGACATGAAAATCTGGGGGAGTCTTGTTCATTGGATCTTGCCATCTTCGAGCTCCACCCCCCCAATGTGATCTCTTAACTCTCCCCCCACTTTATTTATTTGGCTTGCTCCTGGCTAGGGAACTGACTGTTATGGCCTGTATAACTGGCCTAAGTGTGTAGGAGTTCCAATATTTAGCTTTATTTGATTCCATAGATGTTGAAAAAGAGGGTAATTGCAACAAAAATTGCCAGAGGAGATCGAGCACAACAAACAAGCTTAGTTACCAAGATAAGGTGAGAGTGAATATTCTATCAGGAAAAAGACGCGGATGTAACGCTCTCTTTTATTGATTGATGCATACACACCGAATCCGTCCCCTTGCATCGATCAGAACAGTTTGTTCGAATATGGGCTTTTCTGGTAGGATATGCAGACCAATACTCTAATTATTAAGCATTACTCTAGCGTATGCTTTTACGCGTGGCCGATATGATTTTATATGATTTGCACATACCAAGCACAAAGATGTCAGTATAAGAATTATGTTGTTTCGTTTTTTGGAGGAAAAGTTGATTTCGTGTGTCCTTCACAAATCAAAAATGTGTCGCGTCCTTTGTTTTTTTTTTTAAATTTAAAAAAGAAGCCCTTTCTCTCTTTTCGACATGTATATCAGGCATTGCTTTATCTAGCATGATAGCATCCAATGAATATCCTAAGATAGGCTCTTTTTAGTTTCTCCGCTTTTGTCTAAATCATTTGCCTTTTACCCTAAGATCTACGCTCCTATAGAACAGACAGTTCTAAGAAAAGGAAACAGAGATCTAATCAAAGGTTACGATCATAGACATGCGTCCTTTTGTTTTCTTGAGGAAAAAAAAGTAGTCACTACTCTTTCTCATAATTAATGCTAATCTACAAATTTTAACATGACTATTAGCGATTTTATATAACATATCATAAATTAATCATTTTTCTTAAGGAGAAATTACATGAATTTTTCTGCGCAAAGCGATATGCTAGGTCATAAAACTACTCTAAACTAGAGTCGATTTGTGATATTTTTTTGGTTATGTATAAAATAAATAATGAAAAGTTTTTATGTCACCCGTGTATCGATCAAATGTCAACTAGTTACACTGACATGTGTTTCTCTTAATGGTTTATACTATTATATATAAGATCTCTTATGATCATTTAGGATAACTTTGTGAAAAATTAATAACCTTTTTCAAAAATCAAGTAAACAGATACTTCTTGTGGAAATTAAAATATAAAATGTGAATTGCTAAGATCTAATCAATTTCATTTATGCATGCACAAGACTTTGATACCCCTACACAAAAGAAGCTACGCTAGGGAACGACCAACGTCAAATTTGTGCATGAGATTGATGGCCCCCCGTTCCCTTTCCTTTTAATGCGGGGGAACTCCCCATATGCGATGGGCCGGAGGTTCGGTCCACAAAAGATGATCAAGACCGTTTGCTAAAAGCTTCTCTTTTTTATTTTCTTAAGTAAACCATGTTATATATAAGCTTTTTGACTTTATTAACTCTAATCTCTGATTAGACTATAATTAGTAGTTTAGACCCCAACCAACGGATTTACCGGTCGGAGAGAGCCCCCTCACTATACAAAGGCAGTAAAAAGTTCATTTATTCAATCAAGAACGTTTATTATTATTGTTGTTATTATTGTTGTTATTATTATTATTATTATTATTATTGAAGAACGTTTATTATTTAATTAGTGAAATGTTAATCTCTTAGGGGGTGTTTGTTTCACCAATTTTTTTGGCATTTGGTATCGATTATAAGTTTTGGGATCAAAAAGTAAGTTTTTTGTATTTTGGGATTCCATATATGGTGTTTGTTTCAAGAAAAATTTTAGAATATTGAATCTAAAAAGTGCAAAAAGTGCCCAATTTTTAGAATTTTTCAAATCTTCTCAATTGGAGAGGATTTTGACAAATCCCGTAAATGGGTGTGCTTACCTCTCAATTTGAGAGGATTTGACAAATCCTAATTTTGTCTTTTTGTGGAGATATCGCAAGTGGTGGAGATCGATGCAGCTTCACATTATCTAGATGGTATAGTATTTATTAGAGCACCGACTGAGGTGATGCCAGGCGAGCACGACGGTGACACGGAGGATACGGGTACTGATGTGCAGGATCAGGGACCGACGGCTCAGGTTAATGATTCTATTACGGTTCGGAGACAGAGGAGAGATATACAGATGCCAACACGGTATGCCGACATAGCTGTGTATGCACTTCTGGTGAAGAGTATCGATGAGAATGTGCCTACTACATTCAGAGAGGCCGAGCAGAGTTCGGATGCTGATTCGTGGCAGGTAGCTATACAGGAGGAGATAGAGTCTCTTCATAAGAACGATACATGAGAGCTGATTGAGATTCCAAAGGGGCGGATGGTAATTGGTTGCAAGTGGGTATACACGAAGAAGGAGGGCATTGATGGCACTCCATTGAGGTTCAAAGCTAGGTTAGTTGCGTAGAGCTATGCACAGGAGGAAGGAATTGACTATAATGAGGTTTTCTCTCCGGTGGTGAAGCACCATTCAATTCGGATTTTGCTAGCTTTGGTGGCATAATATAGATTGAAATTAGATCAATTAGATGTGAAGACGACATTTCTTCATGGTGATCTTGATGAAAAAATATATATGGCTCGGCCATTGGGATTCCGAGCTGCAGGGAAAGATAAGTTGGTTTGTAGATTAAAGAAATCGTTATACGATTTGAAGTAGTCTCCTCGACAGTGGTATAGGCGATTTGATGGTTTTATGATTAGTCATTCATACACTCGGAGCCAGTTTGTTTCTTGCGTATATTTTTGCAAGTTAAAAGGAGGTGTGTACATCTATTTGTTACTTTATGTCGATGACATGTTGGTTGCCTCTACTTCCAGGTCGACAATAGATGAGTTGAAAGTTCAGCTTTCAAATGAGTTTGAGATGAAGGACTTGGTGAGGCCAAACGCATTTTGGGAAGGAGATCGAAAGATACAAGAAGAATGACAGAATTTATTTAACACAGGTGGCTTATTTGAAGAAGGTTCTACAGCGATTTCATATTAACATGGATACGAAGCGAGTTAGTGTACCATTGGGAGCCCATTTAAAGCTTTCAGCTGATCTTTTACCGAGTCAGTTGAAGATCGAGAGTTGATGT